CAGAATGAAAAAAACATTCAATTATTTGCCCGGCTAAAATTGTGACTATCGTAAAAAATTAACGTGTTGTTTGATTATTATCCCTTCCCGATAGATAAGGCGCGATAAAGCTGAAAATACTCGCTCGCGCGTCCTTTTCGAATACCATGCAGCGGAAAGGATGATCGCGCGTCGCGCAAAATTCCCGAGGGGATAAAGTTTTCCAACTGCAGTACTGTAATGCGCCTCGGGCATAACGACGTCGCGAATCGTAAAGTCGCAAATCAAAGCGCGACGTCACTCGGATCTGCTTAACATGCATGGAATTTTTCAATAAGGAAAAAAGTACGATGCATCAGTCAGTTTCTCCCGTGCTGAATCCGCAGCTGGCGGTTTCGAGGTAGTTCCGTTTGCACGTTTGAACGAGCGATGCGCTCGGACGCGATTTTTACCCAATTAAATAAACACCCGCGCACTCTCGGAATTTGCGCGATTATTTGCGAAACCGAGTTGAGTGCGTACGATGCATCTCTATGACGGGATACGACAACTGCAGGTGATCGCAATCAGTTTTCCATTGTGATATTTTTGTCACGTCGTGTCACTTCGGATTTCGCATTCGTTTTTAATTGACACGATAAATTAATCCCCAACCGACTGGCCATTGTGAACACGCGTGTTTGGAACGCGTGGCGTAACTACGGGACATAAATACAGCAGACACGCTCGAACAAAAGGAATACGCAGATCTAATACGAAGCGGAGGGATAAACTTGAAAAAGCGTCAATCTTAATATCAATCTTATAACTATAAGCATTTATTGCGGTCAGTAAATGTTTTCGTTGATATAAATCGTGCGCTTTATATGTCGACTAAATAGTATGAATCATAAGTTGCACATTTTTTCCACGCACAACTTCCTTATGTTTTAATTTGAGTAAAAAAAGCTCCTTTTCTCTCTGGGGAAAAAAGACAGTAATCAAATTTTTGGGCCCACAATCAGTAATCGAATTACTTGGATTGTTCGTAACTCTACTCTGAGAAAAATGTTAACCGTTTTTTTGTAGTTAAGCAACATAACATTTTGGTTAGTGCCTCTTAATTAAAATTACTGAATATCGACAGAATTAATTGAAAGAATTGATTAGTATTACTTAAAAATCTTGGATCTAGATAGAATAGCTAATTGCGATTTTTAGTTAGGCGGGATAAAATTCGGAAAAGATTACGAACAATCCAGCTAATTCGATCACTAGTTGTGTGCCCCCAAAAAGGTTGTTATTTTTTTCCCCCCAGAGCCTTTGCGTTGAATTAATTATGGATCGTAAACATGGTAGGACCGTGTGCCTTTTCGGCAAAATTATCCTTTTCGCTTTGGCGAACCAGCCACCCTGACGGTTGACCTATTTCCAATGTCAGCGATCCCATCGATCAATCAATCGAGCATTTAGATCGGTGGTCGAGGCTAATGCGACACGACGAGCGATGAGATGGAGAGCCGGGAGATTCCTGTGTGGAGATCTCTGGGCACTCGAGCGCTAATGAAAACCTATGCCCACACTTTTTCCATTCAAGTCGCCTATCACGTTGGGTCAGTAACGGTCGATCTTTTTTTTTAATAACGTATATCGGTTTTTAATATCGAACGGTTTTATAAATTGACAGCTATAAATATACGTGCATATGTTGTATGAATTTTTAATACTAACTGGTTTAAAACGATGAAACTTTTCTGTTATAGAAATAATTTTCTGAGAAATAGAGAAACGTAAATTAAGAATTTCACTTTTAAGGCGAAACATGCGAAAGTCTAGATCGAATAATTTTACTTAGAAGTTCTCGTTCGGAATTAGCTGGCGTTTGCGAGAGTCGCTTGTTTGTTAAATACACGATTAAAATTGTAGAAAAAGTTTCGGCCCGCGAAATGTTGGTCGAAGAACACCGCGTTACTGTATACTGCAGTAATGTGCAGACCGGTAGTGCATAGCAAGTGCACTCTACGTAACTGCCGAAGCGCATCTGTGCAGCATGCATGCGGTTCGATGCAGCAGAATTGAGCGCCGACCAGTGTATGTATGTACACCAAATTGCCGGCAGCTCAATGATTAATCGCTTCTTGCAGTTGCTTACAATCTCTAATTACATTACCACCGTGATACTCTCCGCGTTATATGGCGTTACATGGCGCGCTCGTAGAACTGTTCATTTACTGCCGATTATACCGTCATTTCCTATAAATTGTCACATTTAGTGATGTGCCTTTCCTCGCAGCGGAAAAATTGATTAAAAGAAAATTGTATCCCGTTAGATTTCAACAAGAGCTGTTTACGTAATTGCGCACGGCGCGCGGAGAGAAGTTTCTCTTAAAATTTATCCGGAAAGTCATGTAATCGCGGGACAACACGACATTTTGAAGAATTTTATGAGTTTTAAGAAATTTTACAATTTAACACACAATTTAAAAAACTCACAAAGTTTTTTAAAATACCATATTGCCCCACGATTACACGATTTTCAGGATAAATATTAAGAGAAGCTTCTCTCCGTGTAGTTTGAACAAATATATATCAAGATATTACAAATTTACATCTTCCTTCAATAGCGCACTTATTTGCAAAATAAAAAACAGTTATGAAAATAGATTACAAAAATAAATACGCAATGCTTAAAGTGAGATTTAAAGAAGATTTTTCTGAGCAAAAGATTACGGTTCCGCGAGCAGTGAAGAAAACGAAGTTATTATCTTGCACAGATAGACGCATAAACTTAATTTTGCAGATCGGGAAAGAATTCTTCTCATAAATAAGCTTCGTCGCATGAAGGAATAAAATGATTGCATAATAAAAATCACCCATTAGAATAAATGTCGAATATTTGTTGAACAAATTGGTGAGACGAAGAGAATTAATCGTCCAATATAAAAAGTTGATAACAACGTCGCCGGCCTGATGCGGCACGGTGCGATCTATCGGTTAATGCGCACACCTCGCTGCAACAAGACGCAACGGGATGAAATCAAGCGTGAATTGCACGTCCAAATTGTTCGGAACGAACCTTATGGATTTGCACTTCGTTAGGTCATTCGGCGGTCATATTGACTTTTTTCCGATACGTTCGTCACTCAATCAAGCGTACGATATTACTTGATAAATTCACGAAAGCCGTGCGTCAAGATTTACATCGAGAGAAAAATCTACAATGCGTAAACAGGTCTAATGGTTCAAATAAACGAAATACGTACGGATTGATTTAATTAACGCGACAAATAACATTTTGTTAATTCAATATTTATTGTTTGTCAAACACGTTGACGAATTTTAGTGTTGCAACTTGGTTATGTCACGTTTATTCGCCCGGCAAAATAAATATTTGCTTGCACCGTAAAGAAAATACATGTGAAATTGCAATTATTATAGTAGGTAATATTGGCACCATCTATCAAAGGTGTATATTTACATACGTCAGTGAATTTACACCTTGTAGATAAAATTATTATCTTATATAACAAGTAAACTGCTTGCTTTTATTTGTGTACATTTTACAATTTTTTGTAAAAGTACATAAATTTATACACTTCCGTTTGTTAATAGTGTAATTGCTACACTTATTATGTATGTAATTTTACATACTTTTTTACAGTACGTATGAAGTGCATGTGAAGAAACTAAACGCGTCGAAAATCCCTTTCCAAAAATGTTTCCTGATAATTTAAAGAAATTTTTTTAATGTTCCAGAGTAATAATCGCAATGAAAAAAGTTGGTGTTTGAAAAATCTTATTGAATTTATATCGTCTTAGATGTAAAAATTGTATTAAAGATATAAAATGTAATTTTACATACTTTTTTAACAATGTGGACGAGAGTATATTCTATTCGCCCAGTCAGTGTTATTCACTTTTAAGCATTTTTAGTCTCGTTTCCTTAAGACACAGTTATTCGTGCGTTAACAACGGTCAAAACTATTTCATTAACTTACACGATTAATACTTTTTTATTTAAGCGTTTTATTTAACTATTTTTATTTTGCAGTTGATTGACGTGTATAGTTCCGGCTTTTACGCGTTTATTATTATAATTTATATACGCGTAGAGTTATTTTACCAAGAAGTTCCCCATATATGTCGCTGCTGCACTGGGATGAAATTTAGTCATCGGGTGAAATGCGTTGGCACCCGCTTGTAAAGCAGTGCAAGTGACGTCACGGAAACGACATGTAAGCGCATTGTTCATATGCGAGTGTTGGAATTCGCGAAACATTGTACATATACAAAAATTTCACCGAAGTCGTTATGCGAAACGTTCGCGAAACAACGCGCATTTTGTATATAACGTTAAATACATCGAGTTAAATATACAGCGACTGAAATACAATGCACTTCCTCTCTGTCCTTTGCCTCATCTCATTTATGGCCGTAGTAAATTTCACACCGTCAAAATAATGAGATATTAACGGGCTGTTGATTTTGTAAATTTTCGACGTAATATGAGATTAGATTTCAATTCCGTTATGAAATTAGCAGCTTGCGATTAATTGTTATATGCGCTAGAATAATATTTTAACTATCAAGAGAAAATTTAAACGATTTATTATCGTTACACGCAATATTTGGCAAGCTAATGTTGAACCTTTAGTGTCTACAATTTCATAATTTTCATAAAATTATGAAACAAAGAAAGAAAAGGTATATAAATGCTATGAGATAGATGACAATATTTCGTTTGCTACTTATTTTTTAATGTTATACTTTTATATTATTTTTCATATAAAGAATTATAGAATATATACGTATATATAACATTTATTTTTCTGAGTATTCAAACGCTTGAAGGAATAGAAGTATAGAGATGTGTGGTCCTGACAGATACCGGTTGTAATATTAGATCATATTAAGAAGCTCGAGGCAAGCTTTTTCCCAAACCATTCTGTCGCCAATATCTCTCCCTACACGACAGTATTATTTTCTTTATAGCGAAGATCGTATCGAAGAAAACAGCAGTATCGGCAACATATCTCGAAAGTTAGGCGCACATATTCTCTAAATTGAGAAGACATTCGCAAAGGCACGAGTCGAGTCTCGGTTAAGTGCAAGATCCCACAGCTTACGTGGGTGGTGATGATGATATTAAGAAAAAGTGTCCGCAAAAATTGGCGATTGGCCAATTGCCGCAGTCATTGAGGGACAGCTTGAAGCGACCCGAAATTGAGTGTATGTCGAGGACGATAGCGTCCCGGGGCTGGAATCTTACGAGCTGGAGGAGAGCGTCGAACCAAGTTCCGAAGAAGAAAGATAGAGTGCGAAGATGGGGGCATGGTAGGCAGTGAGACAGAACTGAGATAGAATTTTGAGAGAGACAGGAGATATAAAGACGAAAGGGGGGGGAGGAAGAAAGAGAGCGAGACAGATACGGAGTGGGAAGCTGGCGAGGGGAAGCTGGAGAGAGAAATACCGAGAGAGAAAGGACAGAGAGCGAGAGGGAGGAGCAGTTCAGAAGCAAGGGTAGCGGGGGAGGGTCGCGGCTTCGAATCAGGGGTTGCTTTCAGAGGAGCACGCAGTGCTCTCTCGTCTCGCGAGCCGGGAGAACGGGAGAGAACGTGCGTGCCGGCTCGCAGGAAGAGGGTAGTTTTCTCACACCCTCGGCAGACTCCTACCCTCGTGGTCCCCGTCGCTCGTTCCCGCCGAAAGTGGAACTTGGGGCAGAATCGCGACAAAATCGTCAGCTGTGTCAACACCTCCCTACCCTCCTTTCTCCTTCCGCCTCTCCGTTTCTCGCACCTCCGTGAAATCTGGACGAGGCATTCGGGAATGAGACGTCAGCCAATTAATGCGTCGGGATTTAAGACCAGGTGGAAGATCAAGGACTAACACTCGCGCGGACAACGTGATCCTCTCGAGGTATTCCTCGATGTTCTAACTTTCGCTTTCGCGGAAGTGCTCTCGTGCTGGAGAACGTCGCCGAAATCACGAACAATTAATGTGCCGATTAAAACGACTCGAAGTCAAGTGAAAGACAAAAAAAATGGAAGATTGCAACGCGATTCTCAGGCTGTTCCGCGGCGCAGGATTTAGCTCGTAAATCTCCCTAAAGGGAGTTATCGATTGAAAGATCGGTATATACTCCCGACTGATCAAGCACCCTTAATCCTAACCGACGCATTCCCTTCAATGGTTCATTCGATGGTCCAATCGGTCGTGAGTTGATTAACCTCTCAGGGATGGAGAAATTAACGCAGCGAGTGCTTTAGCTCAGATATATGGCGTTGATATCACAGTGAGTTTTCGCTGATCCGCGATTTTCTTTTATCCTCACGAAGGCAGGGAGAATCATTTAGACTGTTTCGCCTCATTTTCAAGTCCCTGGAGATTTCAATGAGACAGTCGGCTGTGAAGCAGCCAGATTAACGCGTTAAACAGCTTGCAAGGACTATTGCAAACATAAATAAAATGTTTCGTGACAATATAAATAAAAGAATAAGTGCATTTAATCTGTGCATCAGCGCAGTGAATTTAAATGATACGTTCTAAGTACACTTCTACCGCAATTAAGTTCTTTATTTACCTGATAAAAATCGTTATGTAACCAGGTAAAAGTAATGCAAAGCGGTTTAAAAAATACAGACATTTTTCGTACAATTATAAATAATAGATACTGAAATACGATTAATAATAAAACTTATTTGAAAGAACGGCACTCTTCAATTTGTAAATGCTAACTACTTTGACGTGAAAGATCACAAAATAATTTATTAAAAGCGTTCATTAATCTTCCACTCAAGAAATTGTGCATTTAACGTCAGAAATCAAAAAGACGCAATTATTTATTTAATATTAGAAGCGAAGAAAAAGTGATTACCGTGTCACTTCATCGCGCTTTCATTATTTTTTTTGGGGGGGGGGGGACCAGCTAATAAACGCACGTCGTTGAAAACTCGGCCAAGACGTGTAAGGGTTAACGCCCTAAAAGAATCGCAATAGGATCCTTGTGGTATTTCGGGGTGGAGACTGGTTGAGGCTGGTCTGGCAACTTTAGCCGTATAGTGAATATTAAGATCGCAAATCTACAAATAGCTGCTCCGTTTCTCCTCTCGTCCTGTCAACTACAGTTTGATATATAAAAACATATCCAGTGTGAGAGCAATTCTCAGAAAAATTATTCTTACGATTTTAGCACGATGACAGTGTGAGTTTTTATCTTCTGAATTGGTCATTCGAAAGTAGTATGCCCTTTTCTCAGCCTCGGCTGTGAAATCTTTTATAATCGTATACGACAGAATACATTGTCACTGTTAAACTCCGCGAAAACTACGATACTAGACACAGAAAAAAAAATTGAAACGAGAAAGCTTTGACACCTTCGTTGCATTCGTTCTCGTAAAAGCCCGCGTTACCGTACAGGTGGAATCGAGTTTTCAAAGAGCAAGAACGATAAACATAAAGACTCACGATCGCTTTACGAGGTCCATTGATACGAAATAGCGCTCTTCAATAAATGCAGGCCTCGATACTTCAATGCGAACAGTGAGATTAAGTTTTGTTTGATCACTAGCTATCGAGTGTAATCACTACTTGTTAAACCATAATTATATATTTTACTACGATATTAATGAATCGTACGCTGATTATGGTATCTAAACGCAATTGCACTGATATTTAAATGCACTATTTATAGATTTGATTTCCCAAGAAACTATTCGAACAACTTTTATTCAATTAGTATCTGCCCAATCAACACATTAATGACATGTTAATGCACACATCTGGCATGAATAGCCAAATATTGAATGATTAATATACTAGTCGCATATAGGAGCTAATTACTTCTACAGAATCAATTAGCCTAACAATTGTAATATCTTGCTTCATTAAATACTGCCGTTGATATCTAGCATTTAATGCAGAAAATATAGATGACGCAATAAATAACAGCACTTCTCGGTAGTCTTACAAAAATTTATATACGGCTTCCATCTTAGGTCAGGAAATTTTATGTTTCGTGCGATATTTGCAAATATGATATTTTTATATACGGCAAACCCCAGGATAGTCAAACGAACGAACCGCCGCTGCGCACGGCAAGCAATTTCGTCGAGGAGGCTTCCTTGGTTGATCTTGGGTCGCGCGGGACTCTCGTCGTTCTATTTGCCGAGCCGGAGGAGAGTTTATCTTTCCGGGTCGCGGATCCGGCTTTATTTAATTATTCCTTTCGGTACACTCGCCGAAATCGCGGCGGCAGTTGGGTCTCCCATTGCGCTTACAGACCCTGATTTAGATCCTGTGAATACGGTCGATTTAGCCCGCGAGATAGCACCCGCGACAAATCGGCCGAGAGAAATATCCATGAATATTCTAAATATCAGCTGTTGATAAATTGAAGTGACTGGTAACGCTAATACCTGTCGAAATGAAAAATCATCACCGGCGGAACGAATACGAGCTGCGGCTGCAAACTCGTTACTTTGCACGCCGACTTCGCAACGTTTGTCGACTCGATTTTATTCCAAAATTAGCGGATCCAATTAACCGTGGTGTCTAACGAGGCAAACTTAATTTAACTCGTTTTTCCGCGCTGCACGCGACGCGGAAATCCCTTTATTATGTCAGTCGCGTCGCCGTTTCGGAAATTACGCGCCGATAGGGTCGCGCTTTTTGCCAGATTGGAGACTAATTTCGACATAAATTCGTCCTTGCGGAGTGAAGCTAAAACGGGGGCACGTATCCCGTCGATATCAAATTTGCCTTTGCCTTTCCTTCCTCTTTCGCGAATACAAGAGACGGTAAATCAATTCGCGGTGTAATTTAATCTTAAATAATCGAATTGAATTTCAAAGAGTAGGCATGTAAGTTTCCGCCACGAAGGCAAGTTCGCCTTTCTCTTCCAGCTACTTAAAAGTAAAGAACGCGATCATATATTATTAGCGAAAGAACGTAACGACGAGAGCCCACGTTTTGCCCGACCAAAGAAGGATGATTTAATTCAATTTCAATTAACCGATTCTAATTTACGTAATTACGTAATTAAGCGTGCAACATATAATTCGCTTTCGCTGAATATAGCTTTTCTAAATCTCGTAAAATTAAAATTCAATTAATTTAATCTCACTCCTTGGACCACGAGACTATAAATTTCCATCGAAATTCACATCTCACCTTGTCGCGAGAGTAATAGAAAATCCTGTGAATTCCCCCGCGAAGTAACGTACATAAATAGAGTTTTACGTTTTAGCAGAGCAAGGACTAATTTCCGAACAAATTCGCCCTCTCGTCCTCGAGTGCCTCCTCGCCGAGGGAAAGGCGGGCTGGTAAGTTTCTATCGGTAACCGTGTTCGTCTTTTCCGTTCGCGTCGGCGAAAACAAGGAACAACCCCGTTGCTGCTAACTTCCAACCGAAACAGTTCGGTTCGGCGCTGATGAGTTCGAGCGTGCGATGGAAACTTCGGCGCGGTGGAACGTGTCCGGTGAACACGGCACCCGGACGCGTTTCTGATGCGATCCGGCCAAGTTTTCCCCGGGACCGTGCGCCGATTGTGTCCGGGTCAGCGGGGAATAAAAGGAGATCCGCTTCTGATCAGACTCGATTACAGTACTTGTCCGAATTAGCGCTTGTCGGAGCGCGAGGGATGCACTTAAAGCATTCGAACGGCTTGTTTCAGGTGGTACACGGCTGTACCAAAAGTCTTATCTTGCTTCATCCGGAAAATAAACTTACCGCGAGTTACATTCACGACAAATAACGTTGACATATGATTTTCGTCTCTCGTTGTGGTGGTAGACTGGGGTATTCGAGGATAACGGAAAAACTGATAGCTTTAATCACGGAATCAGAATCGATCATGGAATAGGATCATGAATAGCTGTCGTTTATTCATTAATCGCGTCGCTAATATTAATCCGACGGTGACCGATAAACGAAATACTGTGTAACAAAGAAATTAAGATGGAATCGTTGTAATTAAACACGCCGGATATCGGCGGAGGAAATATTAACGCGTCAAGAGAGCTAAATCGGGATGGTGGCGGCAATTAACACAATATTCTATACCTACATGCTGGACCGGCGGGGACAGGTTAAAATAATTCCGAGCCGTGCTCTCCTGCTACGCTTATCTAAATATTAACACTCGCTAAAATCCGAACGCAAGTCTGCACACTTTACGTCACTTATGCCGTCACAAAAGCCTCTCGGAAACGTTGAATGTAATATCAAACAATGGACCGGCGGGAATGAATGATGCATGTAACTGGCAAAATCGCGCAAAACCGCGTATTGAGTTTGATATTGTATTTCGCCACTTTGATGTTAACAAACCGCAGTATATACACGTGTCGTTCACGCGCCATTAAACCGCCGTTCCATAAGACCTTTATTCGTACCATTCGCGATCCGTTCTGTCGGTGCCAATATTTCCGTCCAATCGCAAGCCATAGAATCTTGAACATTAACCGAGTTCCCTTTGTTTCAGCTATATTTCAGTAATCTCATTTTTATCAGCGAAAGAAATAAAAACTTTATTTCTCCCCTCACTGTAACAAAGTTACATGTAAAATTACAATTATTATAGTGGATAATGTTGGGACCATCTATTAAATATATCTTTACACACGTCAGTTTTACACCTTGTAGGTACAATTCTTACCTTATATAATAAGTAAACTGCTTGCTTTTGAATGTGTAAATTTGACAATTTTTTGTAATTTGTCATCATTTATAAACAAGTATTTACACAAAGAGTAAACAGTTTTTGTAAAAGTACATAAATTTATATATTTTCGTTATCAATAGTGCCATCGTCACTCTTGTTATGTAAGTAATTTTACATACTTCTTTTTACAGTGTTTCCGGTAATATTCTCAGGCTTGAAAACCTTTCGCGGTTTTTTAAATAATTATTTTACAAGAATATTGGTTTTTAAGCGGCTTGTCGTGATAAACGCGAAGTGGATTGTAAACATTATGGTTTTAGATACTTCCGCGGCAAAGATTTTCTTCGGGTGCGCTTATCAAATTTTATCCTCTTCTTCCTTACTTTCGAGAGAACTGAACTGTAACTCGCTATACGTTACTTTACGACAATTTTTTTACTCGTAGCTTCTGCCTCTTTTTAGAATTTATGCGCAGATTTAGCATTACTAAAATATCGATTAACTTGGTCTGAACTTTTTCTATTAGCCAGTTCAATACACGATAGAAACTTCACTCTCTTTAACCGGTTCCTCTTTAATCGCTTCATTCTCGTTAATTTTTTTCCTCAGTTTATCATTTGCGTTTAAATCG